AGGTTTCCATTAAGGAAAGCTGTTTTGACGTCCATCTGCCAGATTTCGTAATCATGGTATGCTGCGATAGCAAGTAAGATCCGAATGGATTTAATCATGACAACTGGAGAAAAAGTTTCGTCATAGTCGATACCATGTATTTGACGATATCCTTTTGCTACCAATCGTGCCTTGAAGGTTTGCACCTTACCATCCATGTCAGCCTTCTTTTTGAAGACCCATTTGCACCCAATGGGTTTGATCCCTTCGGGTGCATCAACCAAAGTCCATACTTGGTTGGTGTACATGGAATCCATTTCGGACTGCATGGCTTGACGCCATTCCTCAGCCTCGGGACAACTGATTGCCTCGAGGTAGGTCTCCGGCTCATCCTGATCGATAAGCATTACGTCACCCTCAAAGGTTAGGAGGAATCCATACCTTTCAGGTTGTGTGCGTAACCGGTTAGACCTACTGGGTTCTTGTGTATCTTGAGCATTTTGAGGTACAACAGTTTGTTCCTCTAGCTCATGTTCCAGAACCGGCGCGGTAGTTTCTTCGGCGTCTCGAATTTCTTCGAGCTCTATCTTTCTCCCGCTAGTTGCGATGGGGAGAAATTCCTTCTCGAGGAAGACACCATTGCGAGCAACGAATACCTTCTTATCGATAGGGTGATAGAATGAATACCCTCGAGTTTCCTTTGGGTATCCCACGAAGAAACACTTATCACACTTAGCGTTAAGCTTGCCATTCGTCATAAGACGTTTGACATAAGCCTCACAGCCCCAAATCTTTAAATGTGACAGAACCGGGCATTTGCCCGTCCATAGCTTGTATGGTGTTCCTTCAACCGCCTTGGTTGGAACTCGGTTAAGAGTATAAATTGCAGTGCTCAGCGCATACCCCCAGAATGATTCTGGTAGAGTCGAATGACCCATCATAGAACGAACCATGTCAAGCAGGGTTCGATTCCTCCTTTCAAAGACACCATTCCATTGTGGAGTCCCAGGAGGTGTGAGTTGGGATAAAATCCCATGCTCTCTAAGATAGTCATCGAACTCACCACTTAAGTATTCTCCACCTCGATCGGATCGTAGTGTTTTAATACTTTTGCCAAGTTGTTTTTCAACTTCATTCCTGAATTCTTTGAACATTTCAAAGGATTCTGACTTGTGTTTCATGAGATACACATAGCCATATCTACTGAGGTCATCAGTAAAAGTGATGAAGTATGAATAACCACCTCGTGCAGTTGTATTGAAAGGCCCGCACACATCACTATGAATGAGTGCCAGAAGATCACCAGCTC